AATAGATTTGATGTAGGTCTTTAACTGGATGTCTGAGAAGGGTTGATACACTATTGGCTCCGGGCTCTTCTTAGAGCAAGGAGAAAAGGAGGAGTTGCTTGTAGGCACCATACTTCAGTGGTTACATTGCTGAAGAGAAGCGGTAATGGCATGTGGGTTTAGTCATAACTGCCTGAAAGTTTTTGGGAATGCAGACAACTTGGCTAGGGAGGCATGGATATGCCTTGGAATAATACTGTGATGGTTATTGCACATACCAGCTGTTTTAGGAACCTGAACACGAGTGAGCTGTATGGTGCAAGTTGCATCTCGTTGTTATTGACAAGAATGCAGATTAAAGTCCAATTAACAGAAAGGTTATAAATCTAGGGTTAAAGATAACCATGTAGTCTCAACAACTATTATGCAAAGGCCTAGAGGTGTGTGCTCTGACAGCAGGCTCCCAGCACCTGTTCTGCTTTGGGTGTAGACAGCAAGTAAGGATCAGTCACCTTCTGATCAAGGGCTGGGATCCTTTTAGCTGGGGGGAACCAAGACTCCTTTCTGACTAAAAAAGTTGTCACTCTACCAATTGAAAGAGTGCATATGTCGCAGCCTATGTGTGTTTGTCTTTTTATAAAGGCTAGAAAGCGTCTCCAAAAGCTGATCAGAGAGGAATGTATGTATGTGTTCTAATATATGGAAATGCTAAGCTTCTATATCAACGTAACATAGGAAACTGTCAAAATTAAGGACTCTAATTTTCTGGCCAAATATTTTATAAATGTTGTTCACAGTGTGTTTATCTGCAAGGTTTTCCATTTTTACTACGTGCATGTTGTGCTAAGAAACTGGATAGCACTGTCTGGAAGCCTCCTGGTAGAGTTTTCTGGAGTTTATGAATGCCTGGTTGTCAGGATTTTATGTAGCAGTGCCTTTGGGGTTTAAGTCTGTGGATTAAACTGTGAAAATACAGCACACTCATCTGTGCTTCAGGAAGGATTTCTCCTGTGAGCATTTCTTTCCCAGTCTGTTGCTTGCTGTTCAAGCAGAGCCCACTTGGTGCGAAGAGGAGTAGATACAGTACCTGAAGCTGGATATCCCCATGGCCTGAGAAGGGTGATTGGAAAGTGCATAGCTATGGAACTGTTCCTAAAAGGCCTTCTGAGTTTACATCATACCTTCTTGTCATAAGCCTGGAAACAAAGTTTCCATGAGTAGTTTAATTGCAATAAGGGGATAGCTGTGATAAATCCTCTTCAAGCATGTATATCTCATTGCTGTAGTAGTCATAAAAAATGAGTAAGATTATGTTTACAACCTTTTTGCAAAAATTCCAAGAGAAAGCAATAGTGTGAGGACCCCCATAAATCAGGCCCAGAAAGTGGAACAGCAGGGAAGGGGATGAGCTGCATTTAGGGAAGACGTTCAGCACTCCTGTTGTCCTTTCCCTAGCAGTGCCAAAAGGCTGCTTAGCGTAGCTGTTGTCATCTTTATGGGATAATCAATTCCAGAAGCGTAATGTTGTAGAAATCTGTGCTAAACAACTGCCAATGCAGATACAATACAGAAGACAGAACGGTGTAGAAAGTTAAACTAGTGGCCTTTTCACATGAGTTTTCATTTGAGGTTGGTCGTTATTGAAAAAAGTTTGACATGGGCTCAGTTTGGTCTGCAGGTAGAGGATTTAGCTATTTTGTGAAGCTTTCATGGTTTAGGATAGGAAACAGTACATGGGATCCAGGAGTATGTGCAGGAAGGAGTGTCCCAGAATTCATTTGTATTTCAGGTTACTAACATAGCAGCTGTGTTTCCAGTTCTAAATGGGGGACTGCTATTATTAAAAGCAATCCTAGACAACCAAAATCTTACTGGCTGCCTTCGTGTTGCAATGGTAAATGCTTCAACTGTGATTAGAGGTAGAGACATTATTATTTACAAACTGTATTAAATCTACTACCTTTGTATGCTTGGATGATCGCAGGTACCTGAAGTCTATTGTAGAGACGATTCTGATATATCAGCATTTTAAGAAACTGACTGCAGAACAACACACGGCCAAACAGGAACTTGTGGACTTCTGGATGGACTTCCTTGTTGAAGCCACAAAGACAGATGTGTCTGTAGTTCGATTTCCAGTAAGTGGTTGTTTTGTTGTTTGTTTTGTGGAGTTTTTTTTAATAAATTCTGACATGAAAGAAATGAACACAAAACACAGCTTGTTTGTAGGTTGCCAGACAATAAACTGCTTGTCCAGAAGAAATTTATTTGGCCTGTGTATTAAATTGGTTTTAATTGATTGCACGTGGCTAAAATGGGATTGCACAGTGTGTTGCATATGAAAGTAATGAGGAAAACAGTCAAGATAGAACTTTGCTATTTAGTGTTTGCTACCAATGGGTATACTTCTAAAGCAAAACTTTGCAGTGTATTCCAGGTGATACTGTATTAATTGTGTTATGTTTTGAAGAAAATATATTTTAATTTCAGTCTCTAGCTCAGCAGGCTTTGCATACCCTATTGCTGGTTAAGCCTGTGCTCTGTTAGGGGTTAAAAACCAGCCCAAACAGTAAGAAATCTATTGTTCCAGCTACGAAACAATGTATTTCGACAACATTGCATAATAGTATATGTATACTTTTCTGACTTCTTCCACAAACATTTTGCTGAATATTTTATTAGATACCCTGGTATTGTACAGGGTGCTGAAAAAAGTATACTGTAAAAAGGTCTTTGTTCCCTGTATATATTAACTACATATGTAGGGGAAATACTGTCTTGGGCATCCCTTTTAGCTAATGAATAGCAAATACAGCTTTTTATTTTAAGTAGCAGTCGCTATCGCCTCCCAGGTACTTGAAGCACATACTAGTTGTTTTGTACAGTTCTTTTGCCTTCCGTGTGTAGATGGGATAATAAACCATAAGGAAAACTCTAGTGTTGACCAGCAACAGCTTGAGGCAGTAAAGTGAAAGCAACATGAGACTCTCTAGGGAGTCTGGTTCTGCTTCTTGGAGGACAATGGATGTAAAGTTCTGCAGGGAAGCAAGAAATATTTTGAATCCTCAGATTTTTGTAAAAGAGAAGGCCATGTTTTTTTTAGATTTTTGGTGATGAGATGTCTCAATTAAATACTTAAAATAGGTTCTGACTTAGATGTCCAAGCGAAATGGTTTGGATTTTTATTAATATCGAGAGACAAACTGATCATTGTCTTAGCGTGAGCCAAAAGATAAACTCAGGGACCACATGGTTAGACTAGTTTCCTGTACAGTATGATGAGGTGTTGCAGACAGACATACATGATCTCTCATAATAAAAAAATTATGTTTGTGCCTATTCAAAAGGAAAATCACAGTCAAGTCAACATAATGAAACGGAGTAACTTCTTTTTACTTCCCTTCTCCCAGGGTCTTGCAAATAATTTATTCTAAAAGAAGGTTTTTGCAGAATTTGTTAGTGTGAATTGTTCTCAGAGCTTCAGCTTAAGGGCTTCACTGGCCATTGGTACTAGCTTAGCTGACAGTTGCTCTCTTAGCTGGTAGCTTTGCTGTCGTCATCTTCTTTGCAGCCTTTAGAGGAAGAAATTGTGGGTAACTTGCTATAGGCTAAAGACCCCGGTTGGTGAAATTGTCTAAACCAAATTTTAGGAATAATAAATGTCTGGAGGTGTCAGAGAGAGACATTTGAAATCCCACTGGTCATTTACAGAGTTAAATGCCTAGGTACTTTTCAGAATTTGGCCTTGCACTTCTGCCAGTGTATCTATGTGCTTGTTGACCCTGTAGGAGGGGACATGGCTCAGACTTGACTTTAAGCCATGGCTCTTTCCAATACTTTCTGCTTACGTGTTTGTTTATTTTTTTAAACAGATGTAGACCAAGTTGCCCTAGTCAATCTTTATTTCCTAAAGCAATTCCTTGAACTCCAAAAATCAGTTCAGTAGAAACAAAATTTTCAGATTAGGAATTCTGTATCTTGGATATTTTGGAGATGGTGTTTGATTGGAACTTTTATTAGGAGAGGGAAGGACAGAAGAAAGGAAGAAGATTATCAGCTTGTTAACTATCTATAACCTAGTCCCGCTTTATAACCATCTTTCAGCAGATCTCTGAGAGTCAGAAATCTTCCTATGCATGCTTACAGTGGAAGAGAGAGTAGGTATTTCTTGAATTAATAACAATATATTACATTCTGAAGAATGAATCATAGAATTGTTTGGGTTGGAAGGGACCTTTCAAGGTCATCTATCCTAACCCCTCTGCAGTGAAGCAGGGACAGCTTCAAGTAGATCAGGTTGCTCAGAGCCCCGTCCAACCTGACCTGGAATGTCTCCAGGGATGGGGCATCTACCACCTCTCTGAGCAACCTGTGCCAGGGTTTCACCACCCCCATTGTGAAAAATTTCTTCCTTCTATCTAGTCTAAACCTACCCTCTTTGAGTTTAAAACCATTATCCCTTGTCCTATAGCTACAGACCCTGATAAAAAGTCTGTCCCCCTCTTTCTTGTAAACGCCTTGAAGTACTGGAAGGCTGCAATAAAGTCTTCCTGAAACCTTCTCTTCTCCAGGTTGAAGAACCCCAACACTCTTAGCCTGTCCTCATAGGAGAGGTGTTTGTTTTATTTATTCCAGAAAATTTTCTATTGTAGCTGTCAGCGTCTTGCAGCAGTGCTTGTTGCTTTTGAGAAAATAATTTAATCTGGTGGCTACAGTTCACAGTGCTCTGAATCAAAAGCAGTTCAGTCTAGCCCTAGGTTGATGTGTTTTTCTGATTTTACCCACATGTGCTTCTATCAAAAGATAATAAAAGTACACCATGAATCCTGTCCACATGCAAGATGCATGTTCTTGAATGGCATTGTAAGAGAATGAATGACTGGTGACAGAAAGATTTCAAAATCTGATAGTTGTCAGAGGTATAATTTGAAAAATTAAGATACATGCTATTGAGTGACACATAATAGCTTACATTAAAAGACTAAATTAAAATTGGCATTTTTTTAATCTTAAGTTAATGTGAGCCATACTAAACTAGGCCAGTACTTAAAATTTTACCCTTCATTCTGCTTCCTCTGTTTTTTCTGCTATGGTATGACTACAGAAATAGTTCTAACAGATCTTAATACTTTCTAAGTTCTACATATTATGTACTAGTTCTTAACAATCTTTTTTTCTACAAGGTTTTAATATTGGAACCAACAAAAATCTATCAGCCTTCATATCTCTCCATCAACAGTGAAGCCGAGGAGAAGACTGTATCTATCTGGCATGTGCTGCCTGATGACAAGGTATAACATGATGTTGTCTGTAGCTGTAACTCTTTTCACAATTTAAAAGTATGCATCGCACAAAGGCATATGGCATGTAAACAGTGCATCTAATAATGGATTCTGCAAAGGAGAAGGTGTTTTAGTAGCACCCAGGAAGATGGTGTGGACATACATTGCCATGCATTTTTTGGTATTTTTTTTAATATGGAAATCTTAATTTTTTTCTTAAAGTTTGTCCTGTTTTGCCATGAATCTTTTATCTTCATCATTTTTTAAAGTAACTTGCATCTTCTTTCAGGTGGTTTTAAACCAGTGTATAACATACAACAAGTCTGTTGGTTAAGGTTTCATAAGTAATTTACAATATACTGTCATCATACAAATAATACAGCATAAAATTACTTTAAAAATTACTCTGAAAATAAAATTACAAACAGAACTATCTTCTTCCTGTATTTGCAGTATTGCTTGTCAGCTGTGGTAAATACTCCTTTAATATGAAAGTAATATAGACTGATGTCTTAAAATAGTAGCAGAATCAATCAAAAGCCAAAGAAGTATTTGGCAGAAGGATAGATAGATGCTCGGAAGGTCTGGAAATTGAAAAAGCTGGGAAGTCCATATGTCAAGGTGTGAGATAGCCAGACATATTTGGAAAGGAGCATAGAAAATCTGGAGATGCAAGGTGAGAGGAAAAGCTGGAATGGTTATTGCGTTCTGGGGTGCTTCAGAACCAAAATGTTGGTAAGAGTGAGGAGAGGAAGGACATCGTAGAACCTCAGAGAGGGATGGGAGCACGGAAACATGGGGGGAGTGTATGAAGAGTGAATGGAGGCTGAGTCAGCTGGAGGCACAACACTGGAGATGGTGTGATTTGTAAGAACTGTTCAGTCTTCCATGGCAGCATTTTGTTTGCCTGCAGGATAGGACAGTGAAGACCCATTTTTCAGGTAGTCCATCCTTCAGCTTTCGTACTTGTACTCTGCTAAAGGAGAAACATTTTTTCATGTGGAATGTGTGAGGCCATACAGAATTTTTGTTGTGAGTACATGAGAAAATGTAAATGGATAATGGCTGAAATAGCACATTTAGAACCCAAACTGAAATGTTTGCTTGGACCAATGAATTTCTGTTTCTTTGTGGTTTATTCTTGACTGATGTTTTTCCAGGTAGGCTCTGCCTCTGAGAGTAATACAAAAAATAAATTTACGTAATTCCTGGACAAAACCAAAATCTACCACACAGTAAATAATGATTTGTGTCAGTACTACAGAATAAACTTTATTTTTGTAAAGCACCTGTTCTGAAAGTATTTCTGTATTCAGAATTTAGTCTATTTAGAAACTACTGCATATTTTTGTTGGTTTTGTAGACTCTTTTTTGTGTATGTGTATGAAGTTCACCTTCAAACGATACTTTCCATTTTTTTAAGGGGCTTATCTATAGTATAAGAATGAACATAGGACTGGAAGGAATTTTCTGGACTATTGAGTCTTCTTCACCTCTGTTGCAGACACTCTTGTCATATAATGTTTCACATAAAGTGATCAAGCTCTGTCTGACTGCCAGTGTGGGTTTCATAGATGACTGTGCTGGAAAGGGGTTTGAGAATGCCGCTGCACCTCTAGAAGAGCCTAGAGTGGAATACTGCGGGCGAAGTAGAATAGTGCTACTTTGTCTTCTAGCTTTCAGTCGGAATTTGTTTGTTGCCATTTCATACTCATTCGTTCGTTCTTTTGCTAATACAGTTTTATGTTAAGTGGTTCCTTTCTCTCTCTGATGTTTACCTTGCAGTATTTTTACAGGGAATCCTAGTATCTCTTATTGTGTGGTTTTTTTTTTTTAATTTTATTTGGGCAAAACAAGTAGTCTTGGTGTACTGGCTACACATGGTATCTCATTGCCATGACTTGTTATTTTCCAGTTTGAGTTAGCCTTACTCAAGCATGTGCGCTCAGATTCCCAAAATGGTATTTCATGGTGCATTCCTGTTATCTTTTAGCTACAGGGATATTTTGCTTGATGCTCTCAGCGATGGCCTTGTTCATAGCTGTATCACTTGGCTACCCAGTCATCCTGTGACTTGGAGAAGGATTTGGATATATTAGTCTGTACCTGTTTGGTGTTCAGTGGATAGCTGGTTTTCCAGAGTTTGTAACCTTCGCTTTATAGCATTTTCCATTACTCTAATTCTGTTACTCAATTTTTAAAGGTTCTTTATAGTATGTTGTATGTTTTGGGTTTTTTTGTGGGTTTTTTCTCCTTCCTCCCTGATTTGGGGAGTGTACCTCTGTATTTTCTGCGGATTAGTGTTTTCCTATTGTTGCTACTCTAGTGTTAAACAAAAGTCAGTTTTTGTTGTCCTCCCTAGTACTTTTGCTCTGGCCAGAATCCTTACTGTGGTGAGCTTATTCGGTAGCCTGGGATCTGACTGATACAACAGGCATCCCTGCCCTGCAAGCTCTAATACCCATCAGAATAATGCAGTGGGCAATTTGGTAGTTACCCCTTCAGCTGTACAATTATAGTCTGTTGTTCCAAGTTTGTCAAATCCATCAGAAACCTTACAGGGAGAAGAGGGACTAAAAAATTCGGAGACACCAGCTTCCTTTCAGTTGAATATAACCAGTATAATATTTGTCTTTGACAAGAGGTTTTGTGAAGGAAATGGATGTATTATCTGTCAGCCTGCTGCAAAGAGGAAGACTCACTTTGATCTTCACTAGGCTGAAAACAGGCATTTTAGGGGCTGATTAACAAGCAAAAACCACGTAACCCTACTGCAAGAACAGGTTAGACAGCTGGGTTTGGAAACTGCTTCAGCTATCCAATTTTAATCTACCTACAATAGGTCTGTCACAGCTTTACCCACTCATGCTTCAGATTTCAGTTCATTTTGACTCATAAATTAATGGTTCCACTTATTTTCAAAAATTGAATCGGCGCTCTAAGAATAAGAATTGCAGGTTACAAAGTATGTGAACTTCCTTTCATGCACAAACAAACTGAATTTCTGTTTCAAATCCAAACTGGAACTCAGCGGAGCCTGCAGCTGGCAGTTTTGTAATAAATAGGCAAATGACAGTCAACACCAGGATAAATAATGTGGCCTTTTCCTTTTCTGTGGATTTTTTAGCAGTATGTCTTAACATTTATGCCTTTAATAATACCAAGTTTAACGTAAACAAATGCCTATAAAAATCAGCTAGCATTATGTTTTGTAGAATGCACATTACCTTTGCTTTGCAGTTCCCTAATTTTAGCAGCCCTTTCCGCATGGGGTTAGAGGAATGCAGCAGTGGTGTTTGCAAGTTTGAAATAGAACAGCCTGTCTCTGTTTCGCATTGGCTTCTGAATCCATTTTGAGTTTTGTTTTGGGTGGTTGGTGGTTTTTTTGCCTAACCAAAGAACAGATGCTGAATTTGGATAGCACGCCTGATATATTTACTCCAAAGTATTCAAAACTTGGCCAGATCATGAGGGACATAACTTTTATATTATTTCATCGCCTGAGAACTTTGTGTGGTAAATAAAAGATGTATGAATCCGTGAGAGGTTAGTTGCATGTAGATGACAGGTAAAACCTACCGTACTTATGCTTCTTGTTACACTTCTTGAGCATTTCTGCCTGTCAGGACATATATTTTAAGTTATTTAGATTTTAGATTATTCCCAGTAGTGGGAATTGGACAAGTACCAATCGCTAAGCTCTGAAGAGAGTTTCCAAGCATAAAAAATTGGAAAGTGGCAGAGTTTGTATATGGAGGGAGGAGTAAAAGACAGTGCAAATACACCCTCCTTACTAGCAGAGGGATTGAGTTGGTGGTCTTTCTTTATGCAAGAGAACCAGGTGACTTGAACCAGGAAACTTAGTTTCACAAACACTTCATACTAGCATCAGTTAGCACCTCCACTTCAAGATGCAATCCCACCTTTTCTTATTATCAGGCTGTTCTCCTGTCCCTGTACCCCACTGGAGAATCCCTCCCCTCCATTTAACATTGAAGGGATACTGGAGTTACCGCTTTGTACTTCAGAATAATAATAGTGTGAAGCTTGTGCTTCAAGAAAGATGTTTGCTTCTATTTTTTGGTATGTTGTGCATACCAAATGTTAGGCATTTTATATTGGCATCACAACCTTGAATGTGATTTGAGCAGGAAGGAAAGAATTACAGAGGAGGAGAAAACTGATGTAGGAAGCCTTATAGAAAACTGTTATAGCAGTGAGGATTTTTCCTCTATCATTTCCTGCACATTGTGCAGCTATTTTGGCAGTGTATCTGTTCTGACTTCTGTATATTTCACTATTAATGAAATATTGTATAAGCTACACATTTTCATGTCGTCTTTTGGAATACATTTGACTATGTGTTTGACACTATGCCCTTATGCTATAAATTACCTCTCAGCAAGAAATATCTCCATGCCTTTTAATTGCTCAGGTCACTAAAATGGCAAATTAATTTCAGCTCTAGAAAGCAGAGGTTCTTCCAATATGTTGCTCATTGTGGTGGGACCCCAAGATTGCCAGCACTTTGAGGTGGTGTAGTTCCACCTTTTCCTGAAAGGAGAATATTTTCATTGGAAGATACACAAAAGGCTTCTGTTTCCTACAGTAAACTTTTAATGTAACATAAACATAGAGCAATACGACTGTCTACAGTGAGAACTCAGTTCTGCTGAATGTGACACATGTGAAGTTAAAAGATCTGAACATAAGTGAGGCCTGGCCCTTTGTGTTTTCATAGGGTGTCGTCTTTCTTCCAGCCTTGCTTATTACTCCAGCAGCTGTTAGGGGTTGTGGTACATTCTTACTCTCTTCTGGATTCCTAGGGAAATGGTCTCCTTTCTGTTTCTTTGGACACTTGGCCTTCATATTTGCTCCTTCTCTGAGCAATTCATCCTACTTTTCAAGGATTTCCCACTTTGCTCTCCAGCATCAGACATCCTGCTTGTAGTGCGCTCTGCCTGATCTTCCCACACACTAGGGCACTGAGCATGCAGAGCAGGCTCTTGTTATTCTCCGAGGTGGAATTTTATTCCCCCCCCCTTTCCAGGGGGTCACTCGTGACCTCAAGTTCAGCACCCAGACCAGCCCTTTTAATCTGCTGTTTTTCATGCTTCCTAAAATAGTACGTTGTGTTTGCAGAGTAAACAGTGAAGACAAACAAACCAAAACGTCTGTCTAGAACTTCTTTGCTTTGGTTTTGGGTGGAAAACAAATGCCCTGAAAAATAACTGTTAAAAAGTGATAGGCTGTTATAATTTAAGTGTTTCTCCTTCCATCTCGTGAGTTTCAGGCTAGAAGATAATGCCTACTGGTGCATCATTTGTAAAAAGGAATGTGTTATTTATTTACTTTCTTCTGCATATTACAGAAGGGTATCCATGAGTGGAATTTCAGTGCTGCTTCTATCAGGGGAGTAAGGTAAGTTGGTTCCCTTCCGTGTTTTGAAATGAAAAGAATAATTGAATAAGTATTGTATTAAGCTGCTGCTGTGGACCTTGGTGGAGTCCCAGACACAGAATTGGAGTGTAGTATTGCAGGTAATTTCACAGGTGCCCTGCTCTAAGTGAAGCCCTGGGAGTCTCCTTCCAGATTCAGAAATGACCATTGGCAGAGTTTATGATGTAAAAATTAACAAACATAGCCCGTTAAATTAAAGAATTTCAAAAAGTTGGTAGTCACTTAATGCTCATTAAAATTGAATTAAGATAACTGCTGAAGTTTCATGTCATTTTACCTGAGTTCCATCACAGCTGAGAGCTGCATGGTGCACAGAACATACCACAGGAGGTAACGTGGATGCAGAGTGGGGGAATATGAGGAACTGACAAGATCAAGGTGTCTTGCAGTATCCTAATTGCATACCTGTTGTTGGGTTTTGGTGTGAGTGTGTATGTTTGGGGTTTTTTTTTTGTTTATGGGTATGGTAGCAGAATTGTTTTGCCACTGTTTTCAGAGAAGGCCCATAAGGAGAGGAGCCTGTCAACGCAGGGTAGTGGATAGACCACAAAGTGAAAACTTGAAGATTGTTTGAGAGAACACAAAAGGGAGTCACTAAAAGAAGAAGAAGGGGAAAAAAAACCCCACAAACACCAAACAAAAAAACCCAACCCTAAATGTCCCAAAGATTCATGGTAGCAGAGGTTAACATGGATTAATAAATCATAGGACACATGAAAGACTGGCTTCACTGGATTAGAAGAGAGCAGTGTTATATGTTCAAGACCACCTTTCTTCAGCGTGCTTCCCTCTTTGGGACAGGGCTTGTGAGGCAATGACAAAGGAGGAAATTTTGCCATCTGCTTGATTTCAGCAAAATGTTTTCTGTCTACTAGGGAGACTTCTTCTAGGGAGAATTATTTATTGGAGAGTAGTCCACTAAAGCGGACTGGTCAAGATTGTGTGCTGTATTGTGAGTAGAGAACCTACAAATTTGAGCTAGTGGGTCTGCTGTACTAGCCCAGGTTGAATGTAGTGTGTACCCTGTTTAGCAGGGTTCAGTCTTGCAATTTGTACCTTCTGATAGTAAGAAAGTAGTGTTCTAACACTGCTGTGATGTCTTCCGA